TTTTCTTTTCTTTTCTTTTCTTTTCTTTTCTTTTCTTTTCTTTTCTTTTCTTTTTAGTGGAGGATTTAAAATCCCCAACCCTTGGGGCGCCTGGGTGGCTCAGTTGGTTAACCATCCAACTCTTGGTTTCATCTCAGGTCACGATCTCACAGTTTGTGTGTTCGAGCCCCTCATCGGGCTCTGGGCACTGGGCTGTCAGCTCCGAGCCTGCTTGGGATCCTCTCCCTCTCTCTGCCCTTTCCTTGCTTGTGCTCGCTCTCTCTCTGTCAAAACAAATAAATAGACCAAAAAAAAAAAAAAAAAAATCCCCAACCAAACATAAAGTTTCACAGGTAAACACTTCAATATATATCTCTAATAAGAAAGAAACCCTCCCAACCCACATAGCCACAGTTTATTATCACATCTTCTAAAATAAATAACTTGTTAATATTACCTAGTGCCCAGTCTATGTTCAAATTTCTCCCATTGTCTCAAAAAATGCCTTTGTGAAATTGGTTTGTTTTTCTCAGAATCCAAACAAGGTCCACACATTGCTTTTGGTCAATTGGTCTTTAATTTATAGTAGTTCCCCTTCCTTCCCTTTGTTTTATACCATTTGTTTGTTTAAAGAAACCTAGTAGGGGCGCCTGGGTGGCTCAGGCGGTTAAGCGGCCGACTTCAGCTCAGGTCACGATCTCGCGGTCCGTGAGTTCGAGCCCCGCGTCGGGCTCTGTGCTGATAGCTCAGAGCCTGGAGCCTGTTTCAGATTCTGTGTCTCCCTCTCTCTCTGCCCCTCCCCCGTTCATGCTCTGTCTCTCTCTGTCTTAAAAATAAATAAAACGTTAAAAAAAAAATTAAAGAAACCCAGTAATTTGCCCTGTAAGTTTCCCATCTTCTGTATTTGGCTCATTGCTTCCTTGTGGTGTCTTTTTTTCCCTTTGTGCTCCATATTTCCTGTAAACTGGTAGATCTGAAGGCTTGATGAGATTCAGGGTGTTTTCTGGGCAAGATATCTATGTAGGTGGTACCCTGTACTTCTTACTACATTACCTTATGCACAGGTCTGGCTGTCCCACCTTTAATGATATCAAGATGCCTACATTATAAGATCTGCAATTTATCTCTCACCTAATGGTTTTAGCATCCACTGATGATATTTGCCTAGACTCACTATTTCTTTAGAGGTTACAAAATGATGGTTTTAAGATTTGGGGTATTCCTTCTATAGATGTTATCTGGAATACTTCCATAAAAAAGAACTTTCCTTTTCAACGATTTGCTTACCTGAAATAGTTTATACAAAAAAGGCAGTTTGCTCCTTTTCCAAGGATCAATTCTCTTGATCAATTTTCAGGATAATTTCTGAACTGGTGCCCTAGCAACCTCGAGAGCTGAGTAATGAAGTATTTTTTTTTAAGTGTTACGAATGCATGAATTTATATGTAATTGAAATGTCTTAGTGCATTTATGTGCTCTAATCATTCTATCTTTGGCAAGTGGGAGCCCCTTCAAATTGCCTGCTTCTGAGATGACTCCAATAGTTTTTTGTGATTTCCTTGTTTTTCTGGTACAATAAGATGCTCTAGGATCACTTTGTACATTTTTCCCCTAAACTTGGAATCAGTTATGTACCAAGGGACTCTGATTCTAGTGGTATTTAGATGGAAGCTGGGTGTTTCAAAACTATAATACTAAATTACTACTAACAGCATAAAGCAGTGAATGCTGTTTGAGGCTTCTCCGTGGTTCTTTTTGTCCTCGGGACATTCACTAAAATCCCTTTTGGTATGAACAGTTCAAAATATCATTTTTAAGACATTTGAAATAATACTTTTGTGTGTGTGGTTATGCCACCAACCTGATATACAGTTATGTTCATTTGTTTTATTTAATTTATTTAAATTTTTAAGAATACTTTTCATTTTTATTTGTTTATTTTTTTTAGAGAGAGAGCATGCACAAGTGGGGGAGAGGGGCACAGGGAGAGAGAGAGAGAGAGAGAGAGAGAGAGAGAGAGAGAGAGAGAGTATTTTAAGCAGGCTCCATGCTCAGTGTGTAGCCGACATGGGGCTCGATCCCATGACCCTGGGATCATCACCTGAGCTGAAACCAAGAGTCAGAAGTTCAACCGACTGAGCCACCCAGGCACCCCTAATTGTTTTTGCATTACATAAAGCATTTACAATATCCCTGTCTTAGCTTGGGCTGCTAACAAAATATCATAGACTGGGGATGGGGGGTGTGTTTGAACAACAGGAATTTGTTTTATCACAGTTCTGGAGGCTGGGAAGTTCAAAGTCAAGGTGCAGGTTCATTTGGCTCTCCTGTGAGGGCTTGCTTCCTGGCTGGTAGATAGCAGCCTTCTTCCTGTGTCCTCACCTAGTGGAGACAGCACTTCCTCCTCTTATAGGGACACTGTTCCCATCATGGGGCGCCACCCTCCTGACCTCATGTGAACCTTCCAAAGGCCATCGTTTTTGAGGTTAGGGCTTCAACATGTGAATTTTGGAGAGACATTCAGTCCAGAACAGTTCCAAAGCCAAGTCAGTCAATAAGATCTATCTCTATCCCTGCGATCTTTCCCCCCCTCCTTCCCCATAGGTAATCTTTTTATTTTTATTTTTAGTGTTTAGTTAATTCATCTATTGATCTTTTTAATGAAAATATAAGCAAATATACTCTCTTACATAAATTTGCATCTAACTATAGAAGCCAAATATATTTGTTGCCCTTCTCCCTCATTTTCTTACACAAAAAGAAGCATAGTACAACCTGGTGAGTATACTGAGGACCACTGAATCGTACAGAGTGAATTTTATGGTATGCGAATTTTATCTCAATTTTTTTTTTTAAGGGAAGCATACTATAAACGCTGTTCTGCACCTTTTTTCCCTAACAGTTTGGAGATCACTTTACATCCCCTTAAGAGCTCTTTCTCATTCCTTTTTACTGCTGTATTATTATACTCGACACTCTTAGTTGATTCAACTATCCCCCACTGATGGACACTCAGGCTGCTTCCACTCTTTGTCCTTGCAGACAGTGCTGTATGAAAAGCCTTGTGCGTGTGCCATTTCATGTTTTTGAAGGAGGTTTTGAGATTCCATGAAATGGGATTGCGAGTAATTGTGAATAGAGTTCTGCTCGATGTTGCCAAATTTCCCTCCATAAGGGCAGTAGGATTTCATCCAGTCAGTTCTTAAGTCTTGACCTCAGTCTCTGCTGCTCAGGGCCTGTTCATCCTTGACCTCCCATAGACAAGGGGTGGCAGGGGGTGGTCACAATCAAGTCTGCATCCACTCTGCTGCATCTCAGAGGGTCTGGGAAGGCCAAGCACAGGACAGGGCAGGCTCAAATACCTACTTATGCCCTCCTACTCTTCCCCTTCCCTAGCTGGATCCTGTTTGATGAGAAAAACTTTGAAGGTGACCAGCACATTCTCTCCGAGGGCGAGTTTCCCACTCTCACGGCCATGGGCTGCCTAGCCTCCGGAGTCCTGGGCTCTCTCCAGAAGGTACCCCTGGTGAGTACCCTTGTCCAGTTCCGGGCAACCGCTGAGGCAGGGGATGCTGCTGGGGGAGTGTGGGCGCCGAGTCTGTCCTCACTGTCGGCTCGGCTGCTGGGGCTTGAATCCAGTCTTCCTCAGAACGACCCCAGCTTCCCCTGACCCCATGGCTTCAAAGTCAGTTCCACTTACTAGAGATTTATTGAGCACCCACTGTGACAGGTCTTGGGGACACTGACACAAACCAGACACAGCCCTGATGTCAAGGAACCCATGACCACACTGACATAAAGATTACAATGCAGAGTGGTGTGTCCAGATGTAGAGGTGGTATGGGGACAGTAGGGACTAGCGCCTCTGGGGTGGGCAGGGGACGACAGCCAGACTGCTGAGGTGGGGCTTCTGTGCAGGAAAGAGTGGAACAGAGAGGCATCTCTGCTGCGCGGTGGAGGACAGAAGGGTGGGACAAGCCAGTGGGGTTGCTGCTACAGTAAGCCAGAATAAACGATGATGTCCTGCACCAGGGAGGAGACGGAGGGAAGTGACACAGGCCATGTTAAGGAGTCAGAGTCTATAGGACCGGGTGGGCCCGCTGTTAGAGCACAGCAGACAGCTGACCACTGAGCCCCTACCAGGCTCTGGGCAGTGTTTCAAAGGCTTCCATGCACTAAGATGTTTAGTCCTCACCAAAGCCCGAAGAGGTTTGTTACTACCATCCGCTCCCTTTTCCACATGTGAAACTGAGGCACAGAGAGGTCATGCGACTTGCCCCAGGTCACACAGCTGGTAACAAGCAGAGCCAGGTTCTCCCAGAGGCAGCCCCGCTGCTGAGTCCAAGCTTTACAACTATGTGCTGGGCTCTGAATGCAGACAGACCGGATTCTGAAGCCCAGCTCGAGGGATTTGAGCAAGTGGTTTAATCTCCTCCAGACTCAGTTTCCCCTCTGTTAAGCAGGGATAATCAGAACACCTACCTTATAAGGTTGTTGAGAAGTTATAACGAGGTCAGGTAAAACACTTAGCACAGAATCTGGTGTGTGGTAAGCCCCGAATACGTGAGAACTGCTATAATTACCCATATTATTATTATTACTGTTCTTAGAAGTACCATGGACTGGCACTAGGGGGAGGTTTGAGGGGACAGTAGGGGGCCCAGTCTGGTACATGCTGCATCTGAGAATCTGGGGGACACCCAGCTGGGGGTGTCCAGGAGCCCAGGACCCTGTGAGGCAGACCTCAGGAGAGAAGAGGGCCTGAAATACTGATCTGGGAATCGGAGTATCTGGAATTGGGGGCTGAGTCTGGCGCCGGGGCTCTCTCAGCCTCACCCCTTCTCCATACCCCTGGCCCCAGCACTTTTCAGAGCCCTCCATTTTTCTGTATGGACTGGAGTGTTTTGAAGGGAAGGAGATCGAGCTGGACAGGGAGGTCCGCAGCCTGCAAGCCGAGGGCTTCAACAACCACGTGCTGTCCGTGCGGATCAGGGGGGGCGTGTGAGTGTGTTGGGGGGGCATAAGGGCGGGGGCTGCTAGGGAGCGAGGGCTAGGTCTCTGGCCTCTTGCCCCTTCCCACCTCCCCTCCACTCCCCACCCCCATCCAGGAGGGAGGGAAAAGTTCAAGCTAAGGAGGGTCTTGGACCCCAGCCCATGTTCTCCAGGACCCTCCTCTGCTCTGCAAACTGCCATTTCCCAGCCTCCCTCTCCTCCCTCGGGACCCTAACACCAGGCAGAGAAGTCTCAGCATGAGAGAAAAGGAGATGGAGAATGTTCTCTCATCTGTGCCTCCTCCTCTGTCTGTGTGTCTGTCTGTCTTCCTCTCTGCATCTCTGGCACCTGCTGGACCCAGCTGGGTGCTGTGTGAGCACAGTGACTTCCGGGGACGCCAGTGGCTGGTGGGCAGCTGTGAGATCACCAACTGGCTGACTTACAGCGGGACGCAGAGGGTGGGTTCCCTCTACCCCATCAAGCAGGTGGGTAGCATGTCGGGTTGTGTGTTTCCCATATTTCCCAAACTCAGCCTTTGTGTATTTTTGTCACAGTTTTGCCATGTCGTCATTCCTCTTGAACCATTATCTACTTAACACTTTTCTCTAAACCAGCTCACTTGTTTTTTACACTTTGTCCTTATCCTAAGGGCTGATAACCATAAAATCATGAGTTTGATGTGTATGTATGATTTTTCTTTAATTGACATGATAATAAACACAGTACCGTTGAATTTTTAGCAATAAGTTCATCCACTTAGGGTGAAAAATCATCTCACGTACCAACCAGAAATAATAAGCAGGCCTCACTCTGGGAGACACTATCCACTCCTGAGTTTCTCTGTCTGTGAGCACGTGTCTGGACCTGTTTCTCATTTATGTGCATGTGCATTGAGGTGGAGGCATGGCCGTGGTGTGTGTGTGTGTGTGTGTGTGTGTGGGCACGCACACATGCCTGTCTGAGGATATTTCTGTGGCCGTGATATCATTTGTATCCACGTGTCTGTGCTTCACAGGTGACACGGTTGGGTGTGAGGTGTGTATATGACCACACGTGCCTGTTTTTGTGACACTGTTGAGACAGTATGAGGGTATTTGTGTGGCCCTTGTATTCACACTCTTAGGGCATCATTTCTAGAAGAAACCTTGGAGGTTATCTCCGGCCCTCACATTTACAGTTGGGGAAATAAAGGTCCACAGGAGGGAACAAGGATTCGCTCTGTAATCTTGGGCAAGTACTGTACCTCCATGGACCTCACTGTCCTCATCTTTAAATGTTAAAAAAGAATTTCTTAATGTTTATTTATTTTTGAGAAAGAGAGAGACAGAGTGCAAGCAGGGGAGGGGCAGGGAGAGAGGCAGACACAGAATCTGAAGCAGGCTCCAGGCTCTGAGCTGTCAGCACAGAGCCCGACGCGAGGATTAAACTCACGAACTGTGAGATCATGACCTGAGCCGAAGTCGGATGCTTAACCAACTGAGCCACCCAGGCGCCCCTCAATTTCTTCATCTTTAAAAGAGGGATAACATAGGGGTGCCTGGCTGGCTCAGTTGGTAGAGCACATGACTCTTGATCTCGGGGTTGTGAGTTTGAGCCCCATGTTGGGTGTAGAGATTACTTACCAAAAAACTAAAAAAATAAAATCTGTTGAATAAAATAAAATGAGGGGGTGCCTGGGTGGCTTAGTCAGTTAAGCGTCTGATTTCAGCTCAGGTCATGATCTCACCACTTGTGAGTTCAAGCCCCGTGTCGGGCTCTGTGCTGACAGAGCCTGGAGCCTGCTTTGGATTCTGTGTCTCCCTTTCTCTCTGCCCCTCCCTCGCTCATGCTCTGTGTCTCTCTCTCTCTCAAGAATAAATAAAACATTACATTTTTAAAAATAAAATAAAATGAGGATGACCTATATGATGGAATTTTCTGGAGGACTAAAGACAGACAGTGTTTATAAAGCCCGCAGGATAGTACTTGAGTGGGTAGGCATTCCACACACGTTAGGTATGATTCTTCTGTTATTACCATCACCACTATTCAAGGCCGCCGGCCGATTTGTGGCAGAGCCTGGTCTGATGTGTGACAGCTGGATGCCCTCCCCACCATGGTACTTCTTCAGCATGGACGTGTGTGTGTGTGTGTGTGTGTGTGTGTGAGTGTGTGTGTCTGTATTCCTGCATACATCCATCCTTTTAGCAAACATGGGGTGTGGGGTAGGCCGGGGGAGGGACCTGCACATCACTTAGGAAGCGTGTTTGCACGGCTGTGTGTATCTGTGTGTTTGTATCTGCCACAAACTTCTGTGCAACCGTGTGGACCTTGGGTGTTGCTGCCAGTGTGTCCCTCTGCACATGGCTGTGGGTGTTTGTGGACGCGGAGCCGTGTGGCCGTGGGTGTGCACCACAGATGTGCCCCCCGGTGCATGGGTGTGAAAGAAAGGGTGGCTTAGAAGCAGGGCCCAGGAAGGGTTCAGGGCATGGAGGAGGGCTTGGGAGCTTGGGATCCTGGCGGGTCCAGAGTTGAGGGTGTCGGGGGCCCAGGTGGGAGCATCCCTGCCCAGGGGTCCCTCACTCAACCTCCCCTGCTCACCAGCGCCGGGCTTATTTCCGCCTCTGGAATACTGCACTGAGGGGATTCCTGGCCATGCCGGACCATGTGGAGGACATGAAGGCGGGCCGTGTGGTGGTCTCCCAGCCCCAAGAGGGAGGCAGCTTCATCTGGTACTACGAGGACGGGCTGCTCAAGAACCAGGTACGAGTTGAAGGGCGGGGACAGGGACCCCAGAGCCTCAGGCACTCAAAGGCCCATTTCCAGGGGAAATGCCAGCCTGCCCGTCAGAAGCAGGACCTGCCCTTGGGCCAGAGAGATAGAGAGATACACACAGATGCCAGGACCCTGGGCAGGTAGAGGATGCAGGCGCTGCTTCCCTGGGCAGTTTGGGCTCTTCTCTGGGCCTCGGTTCCCCATCTGTAAAACGAGAGCGTTGAACCAGACCCTTCTAAGGGACCTGCCAGCTCTGATATCCTGGGGAGAACTTGGGTCCTATTAGTAATGACAGATTCATGGGGCGCCTGGGTGGCTCAGTCGGTTAAGCCTCCGACTTCGGCTCAGGTCACGATCTCACGGCTCGTGAGTTTGAGCCCCGCATCGGGCTCTGTGCCGACAACTCAGAGCCTGGAGCCTGCTTCAGATTCTGTGTCTCCTTCTCTCTCTGCCCCTCCCCCACTTGTGTGCGCGCGCTCGCTCTCTCTCTCTCTCTCTCAAGAATAAATAAACATTAAACAATAATAATAATGATGATAGATTCACTCCACAAACATCTCCCGAGCACCTACTATGTGCTAGGCCCTGTTCTAGGGGCCGGGAATACAGCAGTGAGAAGACAGAAATGACTCCTGCCCTCCCGAAGCATACATCGTGGCGGGGAGGGGGGGAGGGGGGGGAGACAGAGACAATTTAAATGAGTCAAATATCTCTGTGCCTTAGGTGATGCGAAGCGCAGGAGAAAAAAGTAACTAGAGGAGACTAGGGAGTACCGGTAGCTGTGACAAGGCCGACTCTTCCCCAGAGGGTGGCATTTGAGGGAGCCATCTGTGTAGATGTGCGGAGGAAGAGTGTTCCAGGCAGAGGCAGCAACAAGTGGAAAGGCTCTCGGGAGGGAAGGTTACAGCGGTGCGCACCTTTGTAGGCCATCGAAGGGGTTTCGTCTTTTACTTACTCTCCATTTCATAGGTGACGAAACTAGAGCACAGAGAAGTTAAGTAACAAGCTGAAAGTCACACAGTCAATTAGTGTGTGAGAGCTTGTCCGATGTTAAATCCTGTGCGTTGGGAGTCAGCCATGAAAGTCTTCCTGGACGAGCTACTTTTTTTCCAGACCTTTGATGGTCTTTCACACCGAACCCTCACAACAGCCAGCACTCAGGGATTCCCATCCCCAAGGAAAACAAAACTCAGAAGAATTAAGAGATTGGCCCAGGGTCACAGTCCACGAGAGCCAGGATTCAAAGCTGGGCGTGTCAAGGGTGTCGGGCTGGAGGAGACCCTGTGGGGAGGAACAGTGCCTGATCACCTGCTGGGGCCTCAGGTGGCCCCTACCATGAGCCTGCAGGTGATTGGGCCCCCCAGCACGGGCTCCAAGGTGGTACTGTGGGCTGAGAGCCGCCTGCCCCGCCAGACGTGGAGCATCAGCGAATCGGGCCACATCTGCAGCGAGATGTTCGAAGGCCGGATCCTGGATGTGAAGGGTAAGGGGGCACGTGTGCGGGAGAAGGCACCTGAGGCGGCTGCGGGCAGTGGAGTCCTCAGCAATCTTTGACCATCTTCCCCATCTCTTACCCCTTCCCACAGGCGGCCGGGGCTATGACCGGGACCACGCAGTGCTGTGGGAGGTGGCCAAGGACCGGGCGTCCCAGATCTGGACAGTCCATGTGCTCTGACCACCCCCACCTCCCAGCCCTGGAGGCTTTCCCTGGGATGAAATGTTTTTATAGGTTTTTTGTCGTTGTTGTAACATAAGCTATTTTCTAATATGCTCCCAGGTATCCTCATCTTTGTGCACCTCGATATTTGGGGCTGGGGTGCGGAATTGTTCACCTGCCTTCTTTGCCCGGTACTCGCCCTACTTTTCTCCCAGCTCAGGTTCTAGGGCTCAGGTGTAAGGCCTCCCTCTGCCACCAGAGGGAGCCCTGGGCCCAGACTAACTGTGAGTGTGGTCTTTAAAGCTGTCGGTCCCCCCTCAATTGATGGGTTCCAAGAGCCTGCTCTGAGTCCAGTCTGGCGCTGAGCTGTGGGGCACAAACACGAGCCAAGCCCCTTGGTACCTGCCCTCAGAGAACTCACAGTCCAGTGGCAGATTTTGACAGGTAGGGTGATACACTGAGTGATAAGAACGGAAGTAGAAGGATGCACCGGGGAGGAACCTGAACCACTTAGGGGCACAGGGCAGGCCGCTCGGAGGAAGGGATGCTCCTTCCTGAGGTGTGGAGAATGGGAAGGAGTCAGCCAGGCTAGGGGGTGGTACAGGGAGAGTGTTCTAGGGAGGCAGACAGTGTGATGGGGTCACAGTGGGCCAGGCAAGGGAAGTGAGTGGGAGACACAACATTCGCCTTGCCCACCAGCACTCCTCTTAATTTCCCCCCACTCCGGTCTCAAGGCCTAGAGGTCTGGCCTCTCAGTCAAAGAAGCTAGGACAGGGGGTCTGAGTTCTTAACCCAGCCCAGAGATGGCAGGACCTAGAAGAACAGCCCCCTCCATCACCCAATTGAGCCAGCACTTCCCGGTCCCTTGGCCAAGGTCTTCTAGGAAGAGGCAGAGACGGTCAAGGCCCTTGGGGGCTTCTCTGGGTCTCCCTTCCCTCCTCATAGCTCCCAGTACCACCACCGCAGACCCAGGAGGGTAGAAGTGGTTAGAGCAGTTGTGCGTCCTTCCTGCCTTCCCGGCCTGGGGTCGGCGAGGAGGAAGTGGGCGGCCTCCTCTTCATCCTTCTCAGCACCCCTGCTGGACCAACATCCAGTATCCGGTGAGGACAGGAGGGTGAATGTGGGGCGGAGCCCTTGCAGCTGGGGACGTCCAGGGATGGGGTTGGGGCTTCCTCTGGGACCATCGTGCCCAAACACCCAGGGATGGGTGAAGCAGGTGCAATTAAAGAGGTTGGTGAGGGTGGCAGGCTCTGGGCCATGTCCCTGCACAGGGATCCTAAGGGGAGAGGCCAAGGCACTGGGACTTCGAGGCAGGAACGCTGGGGTCAGCGCCCTCTGGTGCTACCTCTCCTCCTTCCCCTGCATGGGAAGGTCCTTGGTGCTACCGCCAACCTGGCTCTTGGGGCCCAGTGACGTCCAGTGACCACACACGGGACCCCACTCCAAGTACAGGACAACTTTATTGACCCCCAGCTGGGTGGTACTTGCCCCCTGCACATCAGTACCTCCTGGTGTTGGTCATGCCTCCAAGGCACTACCTGTCAATTCCCACAACCTGGTCATCTCTGGCACCAACCCCTCCCAGGGGCTGGGTGGGAGGAGCTTCTCTTGCTAGAGATGGTGGCAGCCAAACGATGGTCTCAGGGGGCACGGGGCTAGGGCTGAGGCATGTCACCTCAGCTGAGGTAGAAGAACTGGACGAGGATGTTGGCCAGGAAGAGAAGGACACTGCCGCCGCTCAGGCTGCTGAGGGGCGGGGTCGCACTCTTGGGTTTCTTGGTGGTGGTGGCGGCTGTGGTGGTGTTTCCCAGGACTCCGGTCTGTATCTGCAAAAGAAGAAGTAGGACGAGCTCGGGGCACTTGCAAAGCTCATGTTATCTAGAGACCTAGTTCCCCTACCCTGATGCCATAGTTCTCAATTCTCTGTCCCTCATGACCACGATTTCTGCTGCAAGGCCCTGCAAGGACAGTTGGTTGCTTCCTGCCATGACACAGCCAAGGTGAAAGGGGGTTCCTCCTCCCCTTACCACGGGACCTTCCTTTCACCTCCGCTAAGCCACCAGCTCCTCCAGGGCATGGGGGATGGGAACCTGTGGTCTCGGCGCCTGACCTGACTAGCTGGGCTAGGGCCTGAGACTCTGAGCCTGTTTCCTCGTCTTCTGAATGAGCCCATCATATAGTCTTGAGGTCCTGTGTCACACGGCCGGCCGGGCGGGGAGAAGGTACCTGGCAACGGGTGGGTGGGTGCGGAGGTGGGGAATGTGTGACCTCTTGCTGGAGGAAAGCACCAGATGGTTGATCAAACTGTTCTCAGTGCTTGATCAGGCTGCAACTAAAGCTGCTCTTGATGGAGATTAAGCTGTTTTTGATGGTGATCAAGCTGTTCTTGATGCTTGATCAAGCTGTTCTTGATCAAGAACTTGATGGCTCTGGTCTCCTACCGGGACTAGTGCCCTCAGGGCACATGGGATACTGTGAAAGCTGCCTCCTGGAATAGCAGCTGAGTCTGAGTCTGCGGCTGTTTCTGGAGCAGGAGATTTCCTTCTTCTTTTTGCATTCCCAGACACACTGGCTTCTCTCCCTGGGGGGATCCCTGCTATCTCCACGACCAGATCTGGCTCCACCTGAACATGTCTTGGCCCCTTCCCAACAGGGCCACTTCCCCAGCTCCCCGTGGATTGATGCCTTCCTCACTCAGAGATGCTTCAGCCCTTATCCCACAACACCCCCTTGCGTGCCTCAGTGTGCCTGGTGCCCTGTGAATGCTCCCCAGCCTCAGGTACAGGATTCTGCCCAGAGACAGACCTCAAGCAGTCTGACCCCAGCCAGAAGGGCTGGAATGCCGGGACCAGGCCCCTGAGTCCTCGGTTCCCCTGCTGGAGCCTGTGTTCCCATGCAAGAAGGCTCAGTGCCGGGAAGCCTGTATTTCCTCCCTCCCATGCCAGGCAGGTCTGGAGAATCCTGGGCGGTGGTGCCAGGGGCTCCCAGGGTCTGTTCTTACCTGAATCATAACCAGGAGACTGATGGTGAGTAGGAGGAAGAGGAAGCCCTTCATCTTGGGGGAATCTTGGTGGCTCTCTTGGTAGCAGCTTTTAGAGATGAAGGCAGGGTTGTCTGCAGGCTGCTTGGCTTGGCTGCTTTTGAACCAGGAGGCAGGGGAGGCGGGGTAGAAGCGGGAAGAAGGAGGGCCCAGGGGTGGGGGTGCTGCTTCCTTTTTACAGAATTCAGGATTGAGTACACCAGGCCCTAGATTCTTAAGGCCCCCTGTAGATGGTGGGTTCTGGATGGGGACCGAGGCCAGTCTGGGGACGGAGGTGGGCAAAACAATGCAGCAGCTGCGGAGACAGTAAGCAGGGCTCTGGGCCTGGAGTCATGCAGAGTGGGCACGGAATCTTGGTTTAATCACCTATCAACCCTGAGACCCTGGGCCAGAAACTGTCCCTCTCTGACTTTTAACACAAGAGCTGCCAGGGATTAAATGCAATGTAATTAAGACCGGAGCAGGGGAGGGGAGCGGATTTAAGACCTAGAATTTTGTAATTTGGATACAGAAAATAGCAGATCGGTTGTTTGTACTGTCGACCTTAAAACATTTCTTTGATCAGCAAAAATGGGTTTATTCAGGGGCGCCTGGGTGGCGCAGTCGGTTAAGCGTCCAACTTCAGCCAGGTCACGATCTCGCGGTCCGTGAGTTCGAGCCCCGCGTCGGGCTCTGGGCTGATGGCTCAGAGCCTGGAGCCTGTTTCTGATTCTGTGTCTCCCTCTCTCTCTGCCCCTCCCCCATTCATGCTCTGTCTCTCTCTGTCCCAAAAATAAATAAACGTTGAAAAAAAAAATTTAAAAAAATGGGTTTATTCAGGAAGAGCAGAGAATTGCAATTTGGGATAAGCAAGCGACACTCAAAACCAGAAGATAGATAAGCAAAAGAGAGAAACTTTATTTGGGGCGCCTGGGTGGCGCAGTCGGTTAAGCGTCCAACTTCAGCCAGGTCACAATCTTGCGGTCCGTGAGTTCGAGTCCCGCATCAGGCTCTGGGCTGATGGCTCAGAGCCTGGAGCCTGTTTCCGATTCTGTGTCTCCCTCTCTCTCTGCTCCTCCCCCGTTCATGCTCTGTCCCAAAAATAAATAAACGTTGAAAAAAAAAATTAAAAAAAAAATAAATAAAACAGAAGGAGGTGGAAGTTGGGAGGGGTTGTTTTGAACAAAAGTGCCAGAGTCATGATGATTTCTCATTGGCTGAGTTGCTGGATAGTCAGTTTCTTTTAGGAGTTTGCCGTGTACAGCTTTTCCTGTTGGGGTCTGTAAACTGACAGTTCTTTCTGTCATTGAGGTTGAGTGGTATGGCAGGAGAGCTCCCCCTTCTAGCCTCTTTGACTCCATTTTACTGAGGTTTCCTTTTATTTCCACATTTCCTTCTTCTGATCAAGAACTTTCTAGAAAAGCATCTCTGATCAAGAGTCAGGTTTTCCTAGTTCAGTGGCCTTTTGTCCCTCAGTGCCAGGAAGTGCCTTTCCTGGGTGTCATGTCCCAATCCAAGGGCAATTGTACAGGCTGGAAACTCACATCTGAGTGAGAAGGAGGCGAATCAAGAGAATTCTCAGGCACTTCCCAGCTAGAGTCCATAGTTATCAAGGATGTAGTATTGGAGATCATCTCTTTATTGGGTACATTATTTTACAAAGGTTTGACAGGCAACAAGTATAGAATCAAAAGTAACACGACAGGGGTGCCTGGGTGGCTTAGTCAGTTAAGCATCCAACTCTTGATTTCAGCTCAGGTCATGATCTCACGGTTCATGAGTTCGAGCCCCACATTGAACTCTGTGCTGACAGAGCCTGTTTGGGATCCTCTCTCTCTCTCTCTCTCTCTCTCCCCCTCCCTCTGCCCCTCCCCCACTCATGCTCTCTCTCTCTCTCTCTCTCTCTCTCTCTCTCTCTCTTTCTTTCTCTCTCTCTCTCTCTCTCTCTCTCTCTCTCAAAAGAAATAAACTTTAAAAAAAAAAAAAAGGTAACACTACAATTCCAAATCGTATGGTGGTTCCAAACCAGGACGCTTGCTCTGAAAGTAGCCAACTGAAAATATCGGCACATATTCCAACTTAGGGGAGAAAAGTTCTCCCTGTGGAGGCA